CAGGAGATTGGAGTTTCTCCAACCTTAATTTAAAAATTTATTTAATTTTTTTGCGCGAAGTTTACCGACATTTGTTGAAATTTTCAGCTTTACAGCGTGTGATGCTCCAAGGGATTTAAATGGAATTTAGATTGGAAATCAACAAATTTCTATATCCCCTTTGAAATTTTCCAAAAATTTTTGGTGGCAAGTTACAAAATGGCGTTGCAAGTAATATTTCGTAATTCGTTTAATAATTACAAAGCACAACATACACTACGCTTGGCACTTAAAATTTTTGCAAAAACGATCAAATAGAAATGCTCAAACTATAAGCCCAAAAACAATAACTGATGCGGTGTTTCCAAGATATTTTGACGCCCTGGAGTCACAAGTATATACAAGTATCATATTTTATCAATCATACCGATAATTTCATGTATTAAAAGAATTAAAATTGAAAATGAATAAAAAAATTAAAACAACAAAATGAATAAAATTAAGTGAAATTAATGTTTAATTTCTAACCTAACCTACATATGTATGTATGTAACTGAATCGCCTAATAATAGCTTTACATATAAAAAGATTATCCTCATTTTCGAGCTTAACTCCCTAATCTGTTATTAGAAAAAGAGATTAGCCATGCAAAATTATAATTAAAAATATCTCAGATTGAACCGATAACTTTTTGGTGTCCAACCTAGTTTTATCGATATACTTGCGAAGAAGAGGAGGAATGTCAAATGTTAAAGAAAACAAAAATTGACGCTAGTAAGGAAAATAGGTTTGTAAAGGTGTTTTTAATAAAATATTCAGTTAAAATATATTTAAAATGGCATAAAATGTGTTGCAGAAAAAAGTGACCACGGTGGCACAGAGAGAAGTTTAACTTTTCCTCGAGTTGTGTGAATAACAAGCACAACCAATTTGACAGCTAACGAGCTTTGATTGAGATTATATTTATATGTAAACGTACTTTTATGCTTTGCGGTTCGCATATGCATACACATCAAATTTCATGAGTACCTAGTACTCACGCCTTTTTTTATTTAAAGCGTAAATTTGTATATGTGTCTATACTTCAGGGCAAAATAAAGACAAATGTACTACAAGCAGAGACCCTAAATAACTGTTATGATTTCATTTGGGGGTGGAAAACGTTGGTCGTAGGACAGTAAACAAATTTTTACGTTACATTGTAAGAGTTATTCCCAAAACCAAAATTTTTTCGTTGATCGTAACTTTTATTCTCGACTTTTTTGCTTTTACGTCGCTCAGTGAGAGTTTTTCTGAAGACACAATTTTTTCTGTTGCTCAATTTACTATTGTACTTTGTTCATTTTTGTACTTTGTTATTTTTGAAATTATTGAATTAAGTTCTTTTTCAATTTATGTAAATCAAAAAGAAAATTTTTGATTACTTCAGAATTTTTTCTTCTTTGAAATTTAAAATACGTTAAATTAAAAATAAGTTTATATAAAAATAAAATTTTTAAATACGCTACAATTGGTGTATTTAATTATAAAATTGTATTTTTAAAAATTTTATTTTTATATAAACTTATTTTTAATTTAACGTATTTTAAATTTCAAAGAAGAAAAAATTCTGAAGTAATCAAAAATTTTCTTTTTGATTTACATAAATTGAAAAAGAACTTAATTCAATAATTTCAAAAATAGCAAAGTACAAAAATGAACAAAGTACAATAGTAAATAGTATTAACACTACAGCCGCCTACGCAAAAAGGAGTTGGACGCCTAGTTCCGCTAAAGTACACTTTTACCATATATTTAAAACCAAATTCATGATGTACCTTTTTAAATATTTATTGATTAATTTTTTATATTTCTTATTAGAATTGAATTATTATAGTTATGTGAAAATTACAAACAAATCTTCTGTCTACAAATGTGGTAGGTTTTAAGCCTTGTGTGGTAGAAACCCCCAAAAAAAAAAATGTGGTAGATCTACCACCGGCGACACACGGAATTATACCTGGTCATCGTAGTTCCTTAAGTAACGTAACTCTTCTTCTTACCGCTTTTTCTGGCAGGCTGCAGGTGTGTGTTTGGCCGGGTGTAGGTATGTTTTTGATTAGTGTATTGGTGTTTTTGGTTCAGTGTGTTAGCGTATTTTGAATAAATTGTAATATATATGGATGAGTTGTAATAAAGATGGAAGCAATTGTAAAAGAGAACACCAAATGCCGAATAACAGGTGATCTCAGCTGTAGGTATTTTTTGGCAATCAGCTGTTATTATTTTTACTTTGGAAACTGTACGATGATTATAGTCGACATCTCCGCGCACTCGGCTACGGCAGTCGAAAGCTCTTTTGTTTTTAAATTCATATTTTTCATATGTGACAATGAAATCAGTTCCACTCATTATTATTTTTAAATATGTCTGCGACAAAATTTTTAGTCCCACGGATAAACAACAGATAATTTACGGCAAATTATGAAATAGTTAGTTTGGGTTTAGCTGGTTTCCTTAATTAGTTTTCAGAAGGTACCCTGCTAATTTTCACGGAATATTTTTTAAAATATGTCCGTGGCAAAATTATTCTTTTCGCGGATAAACTACGGATAATTTACCGCAAATTATCAAATAGTTAGTTTGGGTTTAGCTGGTTTCCTTAATTGGGTTTCACAAGGTGCCCTTTAAGTTAGCAGGGTACGCGATATTTTTTTAAATATGTCCGCGGCAAGATTATTCTTGGTTTTCAGCAGGGCACGCGATATTTTTTAAAATATGTCCGCGGCAAGATCATTATTTTCACGGATAAACAATGGATAATTTACGGCAAATTATCAAATAGTTAGTTTTGGTTTACCTGGTTTCCTTAATTGATTTTCGATGGAAGTTAGCAGGGCACGCGATATTTTTTAAAATATGTACGCGGCAAAATTATTATTTTCACGGACAATTTACGGATAACTAACGGCAAATTATCCGATAGGAATTTTTGCTTTGGGAAAAAGTTGTCCTGCCAACTTCAGAGAGGTAATTTATAGTAAGTTTGACACTTGTTAAGAGTCAAAACTGAGTACAAGTTAGAGAAACAATTTAATGAAAAAAGTGGAGTTGTCGAATGTCGAGAACAGAGTGATATTAGTTATTATTAATGTTCTTTTTAAAGAATTCTTATTTAAAACACACTTATATCCTTATGTCTAATTTTGAGCAACGAAAAGAAAATTTCCTTAGAAAAAACTCGTACTAAGCACCCATGGTGGAATAATAACAAGGTGTTGTCAGTAGCGACGTGTTTGTTGTAATTTTGACAAGATCGGCATGCTTATTTTCAGTGCTTCCGATCTTAATTTTTATACTACTATACGTTGGGAAATAGTATCTAAAATACTCCATTTTAGTATTTCGTTTTATAGCGATTTTTAAAGAACTTGGTGTTTTCAGAACGATATTAATATTTAAAATTGCTCCTCAAAATATAAAATTTAAAAGATATCGTGGTTATCAAAGGAAAAATACGTACACAAAAATCGTATGGAAAGGCGATTTTTTTATATTAAATATCTTTTGCTGCATTGTCATAATATCGAGCCAAATGGACTACTGATACACTAGAATAGAGCGGCAGCACGGTTAGATTACGATTTCGCTTATATTATCGGTATTTATGTGTTTTAATCTATTTAAAAAAT